CCCCCCCCCCCCCCCCCCCCCCCAATTGCAGCTTCTTGCCAGCATTTGTTTAGAAATTCTAGGTTTGCTCGAAGAACTTCTCTAAAGAATAAAGAATGGGGATTGCGTACTTTCATTTTGGATCAACAACATGTTTGGCAATGGAAGTTCATTTTCTATTGTCACTCTTCCAATCCTTCAGTATCCACAAAAAGTTCAATTTAGAAACCTAACCAAATCTATCACTTAGCAATCCGATCTCCTTTAAGCAACACAACTCTCACACAGTTGCAACGACTAATTATCCGGATTGAAGATTCTCCACGCACCAACAAACCCTCAACCCCCTTTTACCAGAAACCTGAATTAATTCAATTCTCCTTCTCCTTCCACTTCCACCTTTTGATTATCACAGGGGTGGAAGAGCAGATAGACTTTTCCCATCATTTTTTAATTCCGTTTCACAGAAAAAGAAAAAAAAAATTACTGCCAAAAACAAGTTCTAAACGTAATATTTAATTTTTTCGGCATCCCAAGAAATTTACTAAATCAACAGGCAAGGAAAGCTAAACTGCCCAATTTATATTTTTTCCGATTCAATAAAAAATAACGAACCAAAATAAGATACCATAAACCCTACTCAAACGCGCAATATGTACGCTCAAATGTATTGATTTCAAACAAAGCACAAAAAAAGAAATTAAACTGAAATGTGAACTTACTGCAGTAGTGAACGTCAGCGGATTTGGCAAAAGTAAAAGGTATAATAATCAAAAAAGATGAGAAGAAGATTAGGGCAAGCAGAGGACTGAACTGAACCATTGTCATACTTCGATAAATTCGAGACACAGATGAGAAATTTTTCTTGTAATTGCAGGATTAATATTATTTGTTAGGTGATCTGTATCTGGATACAGAAAAAATTTCTGGTCTCTTTAATAATTATTAATTAATTAATGCAGAAAGATACCTTCCTTCGGATAGTTGCATTGAACTGGACTTGGATATGGACTCAACCCGATAAGTTCACTTTAGCCCAAAGTCGACCCATTACACATTTACACATGTGGATTACTTTGCCGATTTGTTCAATATTTTGGGACTATTTCGACATTTAAGTTAAGTGGAAATTTCATAAAACCCTAGTTTTAAAATCCATTATTCTAAAATCAGATGGGATCTTTCACACTTCACAAATCAGATATTTCACATTTAAATTTAAATAAATATTAAGCCCTTGTTTGAGCCCTATTTTTGTGAAGAAAATGAATTTTTGAATAGTGTATTGATAGAAAATGTGTGGCTAAAAAATAAGGAATTTTTTTGATTTGCGTATAATATTATTTTATTGAAGAATGTGTGGTTTAAATGATGTCAAATCACTATTGAAGAATGCATTTTGATTGAAAAATGGGGCTCAAACAAGGGCTAAATATATAATTTTCATCTCTAACCCTAATCAATTTGCTCACTCCCCTCTCTCTCTCTCTCTCTCGGATCACTCTCCACAGATCTTTTTTGTGCGGTGGGTGATTGGTGCGATGTTGTGATTGTGTGCGGTGACCGGTGGCTGGATGTGCAATGTTGTATAGCGTCGCGATTCGAAGGCGATCGGCAGTAGCAGTGGTCTGGCCGTGAATGACGACATATGGTCGCGATCTGCAGCAGATGCGTTCGATGCTGGCGTTTCTCCATGGGCGCTACAGATCTGTTTTTTGTGCAGTGAGTGGTTGGTTCGATGTTGTGGTTGAGTGCGGTGAACGGTGGCTGGGTGTGCAGTGTTGTGTGATGGTTGATCTGGTGGGTGCGCAGGTAGCAGTGGTGTTAAAATGGTGGTTGACGGTGGGGGGTCGTGGCAGTGGCGATGGTGAGATGTTGATGGTTGCCGGTCGTTGTGGCGACGACAGCGAGGTGGAGGTGTTGTTGGCGTTCAGAGAATTGATGATGATGTTGTTTTTGTGCAGTGAGTGGTTGGTTCGATGTTGTGGTTGAGTGCGGTGAACGGTGGCTGGGTGTGCAGTGTTGTGTGATGGTTGATCTGGTGGGTGCGCAGGTAGCAGTGGTGTTAAAATGGTGGTTGACGGTGGGGGGTCGTGGCAGTGGCGATGGTGAGATGTTGGTGGTTGCCGGTCGTTGTGGCGACGGCAGCGAGGTGGAGGTGTTGTTGGCGTTCAGAGAATTGATGATGATGTTGGTGGTGGTCGTGGTGGTAGGGCGATGATTTTGGAGGGCTTGTTTATTTTTGTTAGATCTGGTGGCGGAGTGGGTTTCAACGACGGTATAGGAAGTGGTGCTGGCTACCACAGCCAACATCTACCGCAGCCAGCGATGTTGGCTGTGCTGATAATTGTGATTGTGACAGTAACTCCCAATTGTGACTTGACATTGAATATGTGATCGTGATCCCAATTGATTAAATTGTGACTGAAAAATTAATCGTGATCAATTAATTCAATAATTTACTATGAGTAAATGAATGGTGACAATAAAATTTTTAATTCTGAGGTCGTTGAATAATCGACGACCTATAAAATTTCTAGATATAGCGATGGAGGTGGGCTATTGCAAGAAGTGGCTAGGCAGTGGTCACATGTGTTGTGACCAACTAATAAGTTGAATGTGGCCAATAATTGGTTAATTTGTAATAAATAAATAATATGTGACCTAAAAATTATGTTTGTAACTTATAATTTATTGAGTTGTGATCGAAAAACTAATCTGTGATCTATAAAATTTTTGATTCGTGATCGAAAAATAATACGTGACAAAAATTTTAATTTGTGACCGAAAAATAAGTTGTGACCTATAATATAATAAGTCGTGACTAATTATTTTTTGATTTGTGACCAATAAACAAATTGTGACTTACAAAATTTTTAAATTGTGATCGTAAAAATATTTGCGACGTGAAATTTTTGATTTGTGATAAAAAAAAAATAATAAGTAATAATTATATTGTTAATTTGTGACCAAATTATATAGATCCGTGACCTAAATATATTTAATTAATAAAATAATTAATTAACTAATTAAATCATAAATAAATTTTAATAAAAATCTGATTTTTTTAAAAGTTTGAAACTTATTTTCTTAATTTTGAAATGTGTGATACTTAAATTCTTATTTATGAAAATTTCCCTTAAGTTAATTTAGGATCGTAATGAAAATTAGGCTCTCTATGAGACGTAGAGTATTATTACCATTTTACCAAAAGTTATAGTTTGAAACACTAATACATTTCATCATATATTACATAAGAATCAAGTTCGTTTGAGCATTCATCGCAAGCTCACTTTACGACAATGTTCCCGCATTGAATCAAACAAAGAACATTTTACTTTTGATAGCAACTGATACAATGTATTATCACTACTTTGTCCAAAAATTATAAATCCTACTCTCTTAGCACTGATGTAACATATATATCATCTAGAATCAAGCATGAGAATCCACCAAACGCTCACTACCTCAAGCCCATCACCGCCAAGCATTCTCGTGTATTGCTCTACATGCAATTAAGCCCCTATTTCATTCTCATTTTTGGTATAAAATGTATTATGGAATAGTGATTTTTTGAAGAATGTGGGCTTAAAAAGTAAGGAATTTTTTTTTTTCTTTGGAAATATGTGTATAATTATTTTGTAGAATAATGTGTGGTTGAAAATAAATTTTGAAAAAATAGGGCTCAAATAGGGCCTAAGTATTCAGTACGACTATTAGGATTTGTGTTATAAACGAATCACAATATTTCTCCTTTTTACCTAGACGTCATTGAGTTATGCTACATCACTAGATTGATTTTACTAGAACTATACCAATTAACAGTTAGCAGCATTTTGTTGGTAATTGGGTTTCTAGCCATCTAATCACAAATTGCCAACTCATTTTGACACTCTGATTCTGATAAAATGGCATAACTCAACTTTATTATTTTAGTTATACAAAAAGTGTGCTTCATCAAAAGAATTTTGAACGCACAAATTAATACAATACTAAAAAGGAGGAACGCGCCAGGTAGGGGTCGAACCTACGACTTTCTGCTTAGGAAACAGACGCTCTATCCACTGAGCTACAGGCGCTTTGTTGTTGTAATGTTCAATGATATATATACTTTGTACGTTAATTAGTTCTTCGGCTTTTGAAATTTGGACGTAGAAATGCGCGCTCTCTTTGGATTCGCACTTTCAAATTTACTCACTCCCAAATCCTGAGAGAGAGAGAGAGAGAGTAAACAGTTCTTCTTCAACATTGAGATTGCGGGCAGAATGACTGTAGTTGGTCTCCTATGTGAACATTGAAGACTTGTAGATCCACCCTTAAAAAGTGAAATGCAATAGAACTTTTCATTCTTCTGGATTTATGGTATGATAAAGAATAGTTCAGAAACGCAGAATAGATTGGTAATCGTGCTGTTGTACAAATACATCCATTAGTAGCTCAGCTACGTGCAAAACTACATTTAGGCTGAAGTAAAATTTTGGATGCATCTTTATCACAGTTCAACATATACAGAGAGTTCATTAATAAATTTCAAGTAGACCAAGGAAACGCGTATAGTATGTGTGGGTTCATTAATGGAAATGCAGATACTCTTAGTGAACTGATTTCTTGTTGATGCAGCCTGTGGTACATTAAAAAAGATAGATACTTCTCGAGCTTTTATCAAGCACATTTACTCGTAGAAGAAAACTGACTCCTATATCTTTTAGAAGAAATCCATGGAGACATAGATTAGTGTTGAGAGGTTTTTGTAAATATAATATGTGAAGCAACAAAATGTAATTGCAAATGAGTTGTTTTATAGTTTCAGTCTGTGAAGGAAATACAGAAAAATTAACACGTGTTTCTTTCCATCATTGTCACGATCATCAATCATTCAATTATTCCTGTCTACCACTAGTTCACTTAATACAAATTCTTAAGCCACTGTTACAGGACCTCCTTGTTGCTGTTGGGAAGTTGAACTCGTGCCTGGGAACAAAAAGGACAATGCCAGATACCTTCATCCAGCAAGATGAAATTGATATGCTTGGATTAGGTACGTATCTAAAGATCCTATATATGTTAAAATATTTTTCCTTTTACATAAAGCAAAAGCTTCAAAGGTTGATGAATGCAAAGTCTCGCATCTTACTAGCCAGCAGGAAAGATTCACAACACTTACCATAGTTTCTACACCCCTACTCCAAACTTAGTCAGAAAATCAGGTCTCTTTAGTTGCCTTCTGTTTTGTTTGAAACTGAAAAGTAAGTAAATGGTAGGACTCTAGTCAACTCACCAAATAGTAAATCAATAATCGCACAAGACACGTACTATAATTGACATATCAATACAACTCCATGATCCAGACCCAGATTGGAGGGAACTTGAGAGAGCACAACTTAAAATTGATGCTTAAAACGTTCGAATGAAGAAAGAGTCTTGATTTATTGTACAAATTTGACATACTTTTCAATTATAAGTTGGTGGTTTATCGATGCAGGTCATAAAGCAAAATCTTATCTAGTGCTGCTCATAAAGATGAACCAGTTAAGAGTTGAGACCATTAATGGCACAATGTGCTACAGAGTTTTATGACCCGATTATGGAGGAATTCAGATTTGTTTGATCTGCAATGCAACCAATTTTCTTCTCTTCTGATGCTAGTATAAAGAATACGGTGCAAAAATTTTAGGAAATACCACCTGTTTTCCATATTTTGAAGGCACCAGCTGAATCAAATATGCTGATCCCACTGCTTATTAATTTCCTTTTTATTTTTTACCCCTGGGCGCAAATGTAGGATCAACCGCAAAATCCCTTTTGTTGCCGCTCCTTGTTGCTTCAGTGATAAAAATGGACTCATAAAGGTTCTCCAATTTGTATCGGCTTTCAATATTTGATGGTTTTAATTCTCTTTGCTCTTATCATTTGATTTCGACTGTGGAAATCATCTCTCAAGCATCAATTTGAACACCCATAAAAGAGCAACGTTACACATTTTGTGTGTGTGTTAATATGGATGTCCACTAAAAAGAAGCATAATTGTTTCTTTTACAACCCTATCAAATAATTTGAAATACAACAAACAAAGGGTGTAAGAAAATAAATGGAAAAGTAAAATAAATCGGGCTACTATACCCACTTCACAACACCATTAACCAAAATCTTGACATGTAGGGATAAAATTACGAAGGAACCATAAAAATTATTGGGGAGAGCATGTATATTATACCAAACGCTAAAAACAAATTACATTAGGGAGTGAAAGCTCCTCTTTCCCATTCCAAGTCAAAAATCAAGTGTAGTCTAACAAAGCACCAAATGCACAGAAACACGGAGGAAGAATAAGATCATCAGCTATCCTCTTTTCCGCCTTACACTCTCCTTCACTAATCCCAGATTTCAAGTTCATCACATTTTCAGTGTTGCCTCGGAGTAAGAATATTAAGTAGCAATTTCCGTTCAGTTATATATTTTCACAGCTTTCTCAAATGTGTGGCGATTCTGCAATTATTAGAAAGCTCAAAAGTTAGTAGGATAGAATAGGAAATTACGCCTAGCAAATATTTATTTCCTTTAGTGAAGAGAGCGTTCGATGTGAAAAAGCCCCACGCAATTATTACTAACAATTGGAGTTCACATCAAATTTCGAAAATAGTTCTAAAATGGCATGCTTTCCACCTTTCAAAAAAAACGGCATGCTTTTCCTGTAAAGATTTTCCATTTCATTGGCAGCAATAATCTAATATCAAACTCGAACAGCAAATATTCAAAGAATTCACCTGGTTTGCAGTATAAGTCCTTTTAGGAGTGGTGTCAGAATGCTCTAACCCAAGGTACTGTTCCCAAGCACCATAAACGTCTCTCCTCTACATGAGAATAAATACAAGTTCCTCGGTAATAGATTCATTTAGAGGTTAAAGAAGGAAAATGAATAAATAAATTAAATTAACTGGTAAGGCAAAAAACTTGGCACTAAAAAGATAACCTGAAAACGGCTAGACACTATGTCAGAGTCCTCAAGATACTCCGGACGCCCCAGTGACATAAAAGCAAACTTCCACTGAACATCAAGTAGCAAATCACATGACCCAAAGTACCATCTTAGAAATTCAATTACACCCAATTATTAGGCAGAAGCAACTTTTGGTGAAGTGCCACATGCTTGTTTAAAAAATCATTTGTAGTGTAGATCTCAGAATGGTAAATACCTTAGAGAATTCCTCGTCAGGTATCTGCAATTTCTTTTGAATCCGCGTCTTAACATCTGCTAGAGTTTCACCATCATGATTGACCAAAAATAAGGGTTCCCCAAAATTTTGGATTTGCTGTATGGGAAACAATTAAACATGCTCGTTGCTGTTATAATTATGTCCAAAAATAATCAATGACATTAAATGACAATCAGCATGTAAATTATGTGAATGCTTAAGTACCACTTGATTCTGTGCATTCTCTTTCATAAAATGGTAAACATGAATCAATCGGCTGTTGGGACCAAGGTTCTTCTCTTCTTCTGGTATCTGGAATAGATAAATGAGCCAGACTCAAGCCAGAAACATTTCAATGGTAAAGCAACAAGAATGTCCTATTAGAACATTTATCAGAAGTTGAAAACTATCACATGAAAAGCTGACCGGTGAAACCATGAAATTTTTTTATACAAATCATAAGACCAAATCTAGAACTGTTAACTTCCTGAATTTTGTAAGACAGCATCAAGTTACTAAAATGTCCTGAATTCAGTCCCAACTAGTTCCTAAATCTAAAAGTTAAAGAAATAATGAGGTTCTGAACAGAAGAGTCACCTGTGTGTGTTTTTAAAAAATGCGGTGAGAAAACAAAGCAAAAGGCAATTCTCTGAGAGAGAGAGAGAGACACACACACACACAGAGCTCATCGACGTGCTTATATGTATGTACGTGTGTATACTACAAGCATATGTATATCAACATACATAATGTATATATGATAACACCGAATAAAAGCAGTTAAAGAGCTTCTTGAATTCTTTCAGATAGCATATTTGTATTCTACCAAATTTCGAAGTAGTGAAGAAATGAGGTAAGTGAACAGAAAGTTTTGTTTGTGCATGAAAATGGCAAGAAAATAACCTCTTCAGCCCGCAATGTCCAGTATTGGTCATTTATATTCTCAATCTTCTCGTTGGGCGGAAAGATCTGCAGAATTGGAAACAGCAGAACATGTAAGACATCATAAAACAAAGATCATGCTCAGTATGTCTCAGACTTCAAGTAAAATTAATGCCATAATATCAGGACTAAACTATAATAAACTTAGGAGTGGAGGCGGGGACATCACCTTGTAAATCTTGTGATAGAAAACTTCAAGCAACCTAAGTTCTGCATTTGGATGAGACAACTCTACCTGCAGAAGACATGAGAAATTGTGGGTACTTCAGTTTTCTTTATATCTTTTTCCCACAAAATTATGCTGTAAAACGTAATTTGTATATTAAGTGTGCTGAATAGTTTTAGGAATAATGAAAGACAATAGAAGTACTTGTTTATGAATAAAAAATGTGCCATACCTTTGTTTTGATTTCATTAAGCACATCTCCAACAGTGCTTTGTCTCGGCAATCTAATATTGAGTACTATGGCCTGAAAAAAGAAGTTGATACTTATGGTTATAAGATTTTATACAAATCAGGTTAACAAGAACAGTACAACAATGGCATCCATAGTTTTCCTACCTCATCCTTTGTGGCATGATGGAAGGCAACTTTTAGAGTCTTCAGACATTGCAATTCCGGCAGAGGAATGTCCAGTAGTTCATAATACAGAATATCAGAGATCTGTTAGAAGGAAAAGAATAAGTTATTGCTCCATCAACATCAAAACACTCCTCCCCCAATTAAAAATATATCATGTTGGAGCTACCTGGTTGTAGTGGACAAGCATGTCTAATAGGCGATCAACTGATCTATATTTGATGGGATTGGGCTTTGGTTGCTGAGAATAGCAATTGTGAGGAGTAAGCCGAATTTTAGATGGATCATCCAACCCAAGGTGCTGAGCTACCCTTTCCACAACATCATCGTAAGTGTGGTTCTTTGCTCTAGAGATTTAAGTTAAAAAATGATTATTAGATGCATCAACCTAATTTTGCTCATGAAACTATGACAAAAGGAATGAGCATACTACTTGTACAGTACAGTCTTAAACAGTCCAGAAAAAAAGATCAGAAAGTACTCACAACTCTAGGCAGAATTCATCTTCCTTGGGTCTCTCCAAAGCACGAAAATGAACAACCTGCAAAGAATAAATTCATTCAGAAAAAGAGTGAGAAGACTTGCACTGACATACTTGGTTACCTAAAAATGTAGAGAAGACATCTGAAATAAGAAAATATTAGGTACCAACATAAACAAGACAAAAAGACTTGTATGATGGGATATTAAATAGTTTTCTGCTCCTGGCAGGTAAAAGAAAATTTATGGGATAATGGGATAAGGCGGTATTGGGTTGAGTTGAGATGGCAGGCAAGAGATCTTTGATTGTTGGCCAGGCTTGCCAAATAAGGCACTGACTATTTCCTAATTTTTGGTTTAATTTATTGACATGAAAAGG